CTTGGCACGCATGGATGGGACCTGTGGACACAGAGAGCCTAGATTAGGGGTGGGGAACCTTTCCTTCTGCCAAGGGCCATTTGGATACTTAGAACATCACTTGTGAGCCATTCAAAATTATCAACTTTAAAATTTACCAATAACTTTGATCAAACATTTAATTAATTCATCCCTAATGCCTTGACAGGACCAGAGCAAATGATTTCTTGGGCCTTATAGAGCCTGTGGGCCGGACGTTCCCCACCCCTGGCTGAACCTGTTTCATCACCTTCACTCTGATTAGTATTAATCATTACCAACTCTATTCCTGGAATGTGGTTGGCTATTTGCACCATAGCACTAACGGGAAGGAGAGGGGGAAGAAATGATTATAATAGTGACTTTTAAAGAGTAAAAAGTTTTAAATTTTGATGATATATTTTCTTCTATAGTTCCTACCTTTTTGTCACGTGTAAGAAATCTGTACCAAACATAAAGACACTACGTTTTGTCCTGTTTTCTTCTAGGAGTTTTATATTTTTAGATTTTACATTTAGTCCTATGACACATCATGAGTTAAATCTGATATACTCTTGGTGCTGGAGGTTTTTTAATATATCCAGTTGTTCCAACACGATCTGTTGAAAGGTATCCTTCCCTCACTGGAGCTTACCCACCTTTGTGGAAAGCCAAATGACCATATATATATATACATAGTTCTGTTTCTGCACTCTACAGTTCCTTACCTCTATTTGTTCATCTTACATCAATACCACACTGTCCTGACTACTGTAGCTTTGTGATAAATCTTGAAGTTATGGAGTATTGCCCCTCCAAATTGGTTCTCATTTTTCAAAATTGTTTTGGTTATTATAGGTCCTTTGCAGTTAAATATAAATTTTGAAACCATATTTTTCATAAACTTACCAAAATAAATCAAGCCTATTTGGACTTTGGTTGAGATTGCATTGCACTAAATCCATAAATCAATTTGCAGGTAACTGACATGTTAAGAATATTGTTTCCTATCCATGAACACTATGTGTATCCCATGTAGGTCTTCATGAATTTCTCTTAATTTACATGTTTCTCTTTTATTATATAGCATTGCACTTTCTTGATTTCAATTTCTGATTGTTCAAGAATATAGAAATATAATTAACTTTTGTATATTTGTCTTATATCCTGCAACAATGCTAAACTCACTTAACCCTCTGGTAGACACTCTCAGATTTTTATAAAGTCATCTCTGAAAATAGTTTTACACTTGATCTTAGACAAAAGGCCGGGAAGCGATTCTTCATTTATGGTGCCTTTTCCTCTTTGCTCCACTGCACTGGCTGGAACCTCCTACAGAATGTTCAGAAGCAATGGCACTGACATCCTTGCACTCAGCTTGTTGGGGGGAATGCATCCATTCGCCATGATGTTTGGTAGAGGGTTTTTTTAATGAGCTTTATCAAACCAAGGAAATTCCCTTTAAATTATAATTTTCCTAGAGTTTTTATCATGAATTAGTGAATTGTCAAACCCATCTTCAGCATCTGTTAATCACATGGTTTTCCTCATGTATGGTAAATTGTATTAGTTGACTTTCAAATGTCCAATCCATATTATTGAGATAAACTTATTTGAGTAAGATGTATTATCCCTTATAATGTAGAATCACATTGGATTTGACTTGCTAGAAATTTGTTTGAAATTGTTATGTTGATGTTCATGAAGAATAATTGTCTGGTTTAGGGATCCCAACAATGTTGGTTGACCTCATAGATGGAGTGGAAAGTATTTTATCTCTCTTCAATTTCCTGGGAGAGACAGTGTAGAATGGTATTATTTCTTCCTGAATAAATGGTAACATTTACCACAAAAATGATTTAGCCTAGACCAGTGGTGGGCAAACTGCGATTCACAAGCCACATGTGGCTCTTTGGCCCCTTGAGTGTGGCTCTTCCACAAAATACCACGTGCGGGCGTGCATGTACAGTGCAATTGAAACTTCGTGGCCCATGCGCAGAAGTCAATATTTTGTGGAAGAGCCACACTCAAGGGGCCAAAGAGCCGCATGTGCCTCTCCAGGCACAGTTTGCTGGCCACTGACCTAGAGTATTCTTTGTGAGATTTTAAACTACAAATTCAATTTCATAAATAGGGCTAGTTAGGTTTTTTGTTTCTTCCTGAGTGAACTTTGATATTTTGTACCTTCCAAGGAATTTGTGCTCATTTCTTCTACATTTAAAATTTATTGCCATCGTTGTTCCTAACATTTGTAGAGTCTGTAGTGGTTTTACCTCCATCATTCTTGGCATCGGTCATTTCTTTCTATCCTGTTCAGTCTACACAGGTGTGTGAATTGTTTTCGAGCTTCTCAAAGAACCAGCTTTCAGGTTAAATGTTTTCTATTACATTTTTCTGATGTTATTGATCTCTGCCCTACCTTTGTTATCTCCCTTCTTCTGCTTATACTTTTGTTAGAGGCCCGGGCACCAATTCATGCACAGGTGGGGTCCTGATGGGGGAAGGGAACGGTGGAGGTTTGCGGGCCAGCCCTGCTGCTGATCGAGGTGTGGGTGGTTGATCTGTGACGAGTCCAGCAGTGGCAGGGGGGTGGGGGGGGTGAAGGGCTGAGGCGGGGGGGCCCTACAAACCCTGCCTCTGTGAGCACCTTGACCTTGGAGTTCCCAGTCTCAGTAAATGTTTGCTTCAGCCACCTGGTCTGTGTACCTCCTTAGGCAGCCTGAGCGCACTAGGACAGTATGTAGTCTGTATCCACTCAGAACTCTGTGTTTATCATGCTTAGACGTGTAAAAATATAGAGTTTTTATCTGAGGTTCCATTTACCTTCAACTCAGCGACTTTCACCACGCAGGTCCTTCAGGGCTCCATCACAATGTCCACACCAACTGCGAAGGGACAGACGCCTCTGCAAATGGCCAGGCTCAAGCAGGAGCAATAGACACTTCCCGAAGGCCTCTGAGCCCCAGGACTGCATAGCCCAGGAGTTCTCACTAAAGAACTGTGTGCGTGCGTGTGTGCATGTGTGTGTGCGTGTGTGTGCACATGTGTGTGAATGTGCGTGTGTGTGTGCATATATGTGAGTGTGTGCATGTGCATTGGGTAAGCTATAAGCCAGTGATGGCGAACCTATGACACGCGTGTCAGAGGTGACACACAAACTCATTTTTTTCAGTTGATTTTTCTTTGTTAAATGGCATTTAAATATATAAAATAAATATCAAAAATATAAGCCTTTGTTTTACTATGATTGCAAATATCAAAAAATGTCTCTATGTGACACGGCACCAGCGTTAAGTTAGGGTTTTTCAAAATGCTGACACGCCGAGCTCAAAAGGTTCGCCATCCCTGGCGTACGGGGACCCGAG